AGACAGTTGTGCTGCAGTGCAGGAGAGAACAGAGTGACAGGTGAGCTCATGTGCCAAAGATGAACATGCTGATATTAGAAGAGAGCAGAGTTACAGGGGAGCTCATGTGCCAAAGATGAACATGCTGATATTAGAAGAGAGCAGAGTTACAGGGGAGCTCATGTGCCAAAGATGAACATGCTGATATTAGAAGAGAGCAGAGTGTCAGGTGAGCTCATGTGCTAAGAATGAACATGCTGATGAGAGGGGAAAGCTTAGTGACAGTTGAGATCTCAGTCTACTGCTTCTTCTGTCATTATTCAGTCAAAAACCTAATAGAGGGATAAGACCTGTAAGTGTTACTGAACTGCAGCAGAGAATAATCCAGTCTCTTGCCCTGCCAGATAGGGCCATGCTGTGTGGCAGAGTTGTGTAAGTCTCAGAACTGGATGGCCAGAAATACAAATCCTTTGAGAGGTAACACAGCTTCTATAGAATATTTATTCTGTGCATTTGTGTATTGTATCTATTTGCCTGGAGTTTAGTTATAATCTTCATTTGTTAGTGAATCTATTTTTAAATGAACATGAACAACCAATCAAAGTTCAGATTTTCTTCCCCAGTCCCCCTCTCCTAATAACAACACTCTTTAAGCCAGCCATACATGGAACAAAATTCGGCAAGTTCAGCTGGGACTGGACAAATTTCAGTCCAAGTATATTGCTCACTGGTTGTACACAAGTCGATCTATAGATCGACTGTGTACAACAAGCATGTCGGGTTTATTCCGAATGATCAGTGGCGATGGCTACAGCTGGCAACACTGATCACTGCATTAGGACAGTGGGGAAGTTTCCCCACTGTTAGAATACAGTAACTCAGCGGGAAGGATTCCCCCATTCACAATGAATTAAGGGCGGGCAAGGGGGATGATCAATGTAAGAGCTGTCTTACATGTGGGCCACTTGTGGTTTTAACTACATTTTGCTTTTCTCAATGACAGCCTCTCTTTAAGGCAGCTGTTTAGTTTTGTTAAATTTCAGTTGACAATTGGGGTTTCACTAAACTATAGCAAAGAAATGAACATTGCTTCTGTGCAGACAGACCTTTTCACTTTGTTTTAGAGACAGGTACACTTTTACACTTGTTGATGACCGATATCCCAATCTACGCCCAAAAATTCTGCAATCCTAACTTATCATTAGCTAGACTATGACAGGCATAACAAAACATACATCATCCATATTGCTCACAGGGCAGCTGTACCCTCCTCCTAGGTTTATCAGTTCCTTGTTAAATGTACACCATACAATCTGATTGTACAATCTCCTTCAGATCTACCATCAAATATGTAGTGCAAGGGCCTGCCAGATTGGATAGATTTGGTGTGTGTCCTCCTATTTTACAATTTTAGTAAATCTATAGGAGGTTGTACAATCAATATTGTATAGTGTATGGCTACCCCAAGTGCCAACAACCCACCAACCACCCCAAAATTGCAACAAAAATTCTAGCATACCACACAAACCACCAACCAAAAGTGCACCTGTTATAAGCTCCCACAGGTGAACCTCTTGTGAAGATTTTGGTTACCGGGCTTTTAAGCTGTTCCTCTGACTTCAATACCATCTTAGGGCCCTTTCATGCAAACATTCCGATCGATTTCATCTGTCCATTTTTCAGGCAGACTCGACTGGAACCTCCATTCTCCTCCATGGAGCAGCAGGTGTAAACCACGCCAGTCTACATCCAATTCGATCTTTGACAAAAAAATTAATGGGAACCCATCTGGCCCGATCGGAGTGGATGGCAGTCAGGTATAAACAGACAGGCAGTCAATTTACATCCATCCGCCCATAGAGGAGAGTGGGTTGTGTCCGTGTCTGCTCTGCATAAGCGGAGCAGAAATGGACCGGTCATCCACCTGCTCAGTGGGCATCAGCAGACAGATCCCCCGCTGAGAAAGGGGCCTTAGCCACAAATGCAAAACATGTAAGCAAGTCAGGAAAATCACAGAAAACACAAAATGGGGGAATTTATCAAACAGAATCTGGAGCAGCTGTGCATAGCAACCAATGAATTTCTGTATTCAGCTTGTTCAGTTAAGTTTTCAAAATGAAAGCTAGAAGCTGATTGGTTGTCATCCACAGCTGCTTCAGATTCTCTCTGCTCCAGATTTGATACATTCCCCCCAAAAGTTCCTTTCTGCTTCCTTTATGCCAGCAGCATTCAGGCCTCATGCAAATAAAAAAGGCATAAAAAAATACTGCTTACTGTATACAGGCATTTGGCATTTTATTTCTCGCAGCCTGTAAAAGCAAGTCAATGTTAGCCTACGTGTCTATGCACATTTGGGTGTTTACAGGCGTATTTTTAGAGGAGCGTTTACAGGCTGGAAAAAAAAAAACAAACAAAAGTTGTTATGCAGAAAAAATGCTTGATGCACTTAAACACCAATTGTTCTACTGTTTTAAGGATGTGAGGAAAACTGCTTATAAAAACGCAAATGCTTGTACAATATGCTCCATAGGAGCTTTTTTTATGCTGCCTTTACCTGCCAGCAGTTCTGGCATTTTTTCTGCTGCCTAGTGTGCACGGACCCTGAAATCTTTAATTTGAAAGTGCAAGTGGATATCCTCCTTGCTGGAGAGAAAGCTGTACCTGAAGACCTACAGTGCAAGGATATCACTGCTTGTGTTTAATCCATTATGTGGATCTGTGCTTCCTCCAGTTTCCCTGCTGCTTCTTCATTACCTCACCTATCAATAGGGAGGGGCAGTCTGACACCAGGAAGAAAAACCTTACTTCTTTACTAAGATGGCCATCTCCATACAGAGACAAAGTGCAAGGCATAGTAAAATCAGTAAAGGGAAAAAGATCATCTGCAAGGAGACGACAGGCAATACTAATGACTAGTTATGTGATCTCTTCCTGCCTTGTTTGGACACAGCATCCAAAGCTTAGTTCCTGCTTACTGGCAACGCTGTCACCTTACACTCATGACTATCAGGCTTTCAAGATTCAAGTAGTGCTAAAGCCTACTGAAACTTTTTAAAATGCTTTGCAAAAGGTTGCTATACACACTTCCTTAATGTAAGCTGAAGTCCTTATGTACAAAGGTCTAAAGGACCAACAGGGAGCCTTCTAAGGGCCAAGCTCAACCTTTACAGTAAAATTCAGAATTTGCACATACCAACTAAAAACAGAAAGCAGGGCTTCTACCTCCATAGTTAAACTTCCAAAGCTGGATGACCAGGAATGGATTGCAATTGCTGGTGAAATGCAGAAAAAAAGATTGCTGGCATCACAGTCAACTGCAGCAAGAAATCAGCTTTATTAAGGCTAGGTCCACACTATGGATCGCATGTGAATCACACAGGAACTGCACCACATTCCTGTGCAATTTACATGCGATTCTGTGGAGTGCGATTTGAGCCCATTCATTTTGAATGGCTCAAATCACACCGCATCTGCACCAAAAAAGTAAAGGCACCTTCTTTTTAGCCACACTGGAACTGGATCGCATGATTATATATACCCTCTGTTTCCTCTTGTACCAAATTGTATTGTAACTGTAATGTCTACCTTCATTTTGTAAAGCGCTGAGCAAACTGTTGGCGCTATATAAATCCTGTATAATAATAATAATAATAATATACCCATGCAAACCAGGTTAAACCAAACACACTGTGATTGCAACCTGCTTTTTGTGGTGCAATTGTGATGCAGTGCAGGAAAGGCACAGGGATCGCTGCATTTCCTGCACTGCATATGTGTGAATAGAGGCTAAGACATCGGTGTACTCAGAACAAACAGTCAACGCCTTTCCACCATAATGGCCTTACTCATGAGTATGGCCGTTATGCAGGAAATGTATTGACTGTCTGTACCATGATTCCGGCAATCTTCCTTTCAGAATTTGCACATAACCTTGTCTGTTTAGATCTGTGCCTACAGTGATTGCTTCGACATGCCATTTCCATTGGAATACTGGTTCTGTGAATACTTTTTCGATCATTGTGCAGAGGTACTGAAGGTTTGTGAAAAGTTTACTTTGGACCTGCAAAAAAGATGCAGTAAGAAGTACTGAATTCCTGTGCATCTCAGTCACACTGTACATCCATCCAGAACTTTGTTATGTTTCTTTACCTTTAAAGGCATCCTTGGCACATACGTGGCAACAAACCTGGACTGCGGTGGCTAAAAATGACAAATCTCTGCCATCATCAGACGTTTCCCTCTATTAAATTATAAGCCCAGTAAAAGTATGGCAATGTAAATTTGCTCCCCTTTCCTTCCAGACAGCCTCTTATCTCAGACGTCCTATTCCATTTCCAACAAATCTAAAAATTCCAGCTTAACACAATTTATTATGAAAATGAATATTTAGAGCAAGGATTTTCCTTTAAACCCCAGATATAAATTGATTAATATGATGATTTCAGCTGCTACCACCTCCTAAAATCAAGACTCTCTGTTTTGGTTACATATCACTGCGATTGGTGCAATTTTTTTCCTTCAAATTTAACACAAATTGAAACTAAAATGAACACACATTTGCCCTCAGGAATTGAAGAGAGTTTCTATGAGTACCAACTCTGTTCATGTCAAGTGCTGTGTATAAAGAGTTCAAGTGCCAAATCTCCAAACAGCTCCCACTGTAGTCCAGGCAGGGGGCACTCCTGTCCCACCAGCCGAAAGGTACTACAGGTTCCAGCAAGCTCCTGTTAGAAAGGCATGCTTGGACTTGTAGTTCCTTGACAAGGCTCTCTATGCCTGCTCTAACCCTTACATCTTCAAATCGTACATCAATGTTCTGAAGGCTCCAAACAAAACAGAACCGATTTCTGCTACCCGAGCAAGAGCTTCTTGTCAATGTTTTCATAGTGAGTTTCCCTAAACACAACATTCAGATTCACAGGGAACAAGATAAGCACAAAAATAAAATTTAATTTACACCCCAAGAAGTCCAGCTTGCTGGCTCTTTTCACCCCCACCCCTCCCCCCTTGATTGGCGGGTCTCAAGACACTTCAATGACTTCCATGCTGCCGGAGAAGTTAGTCTGGCTGCCTACTTTGCCCAGTTCTTCCCGGGACCTGCTGTCCCCTAGGCCTTCCCCAAATTCCATCTGGCAGCTGCGGCGTTTGAACTGCTTTTCGAAAGGGCTTTCCTCATGCCAGCTGCGTCTAGAGTCTCCACGGGTGCAGGGCTTCTGCCTCCTACGCACCGCGCAAGAGGGGTCCATGGGCAGCTGGCCGCAGCTGTAGGCTGCAAAGGCTCCCGCGCTGTACAATGTGGAGGCAGAATAGAAGTGTGAGGGTGCATCAGAGGTGAAGTACCAGCTGCCGGTTAATGATGAGGCCTGAGTTGCCAATATGTCAGAATGCCAGTCTTTAAGGCCTAGCGCTGGCTTGGCCAGGTGCTGCTGCTGGCTGCTGGATAATCCAAACAGGAAGTTAGTTTTGCGGTGGTCCTCCATGCTGCCACTGCGGAAAAGGGGTGCAGCTAAAGAGCGCTGAGACAGGAAGCTGCTTCGAGATGATGTCTGCTGTGCTTGCCGGTGTTTGTCCTCAGTCTGACGACAACTGGCGGGCATCTCCGGTACCCTCTTTGCCTCTTCCCCGATCGGGGCTAGCCTCTGGAGTCTGCTCAGAGACCTCCTCCACAGGCGAGAACTGGCACATCTTACTACCACCTTCCATAGATGCCGTAGGTTTATAGAATTCTTTGCTGTCCTCTGGTGCAGAAACGAGTGATGCTGCACCAGACAGGCTGCAGTAAGCCATCGATTTGATATCTAGGGAGAAAGAGCGCTTTATTTTATTGCTGTCCTCCCTGTGTGACACATGCAGTCCATTGAGGCCTTGCAGGAGTGGTGCCTCCTCGAGGTACGAGGCTTGTGGTGGCTCTTCTGAGGTAGGGTGAGCTTGCTGTGGACTCTGTAGTTGAGGCACCTCTATGGTGGCTGAAGGGAGGTGGTTTTCATTGGCACTGCAGCCCAGATCCAGCTGCAGTTTCAGTTTGCAGATGGTGGCAGGTGCCTGATCACCCTGAGTTTTGATCTTTTTCTCAAAGTCCAGCAGTTGGCCCAGGAAATTGAAGTTCGGTGAGATGGTCGGTCGCTTCTCCTTGACAAACCTGCAGAAAAGGAAAAAGAAGAAAAAAAGTCACCATGGCCCTCTTTTGTCTCAGAAATTCTGTATAAAACAAAGAGTAGGAAAATAAACACCTGTGAGCTATGGTTTGCTTCCAAATTCTGTGGCAATTACCCTTAAAGAGTAAGTTACCCCAAGATTTCATATTCCTGTTATGTGCCAAGTAACATGTACTTGTTTATTAAGTATCCTCTTCTCTTTGTATTTCTTCCTTTGTGTAAAATACCTGGTGCTCCGGCCAGTCTGCCTGCTTTCCTTTTTCAAACTGACCATGCTAGGCATGACAGCACATCCATCCCAGCATGGTCAATTTTCTGGCTGTGCAGGGAGAACAGCCTGCCTGTCCTCCAATGAACAGACTTGTGCTAAATCCTTTTGGTCTGTCAAATATCCTATTAAAAACATTTTTGTTATATGAGCTCAATAAATTGACAAACATACCTGTTGTTGATCTTATCAGCCAACTTCCTAAGCTGGTCTTTTATTATATTCATTGTCCAATTATCCAAAGACCACAGAACACCTCCTCCCCTACGTTTTGGAAAGGATGAGGATGTTCTGAAGTCTTAACACACTTACTGTAGGTCTCTGCTGCTGGGATCCACCAACTATGCTCCAGGATGTCACTAACCCCCCCAAGTAACTGTGTTCAGGCCTAGCAAATTTTCAACTGCTCCACATACCTAGAAGCCCCCCCCCCACCCTTTTTCTTAAGAGCAACAAAGCAAGGGTAGGCAAGGTCCATCAGGAATCCAACGAACAAGCAGGAGACGATCTCTAAACAAATGAGGGCAATGACTACAGGACAAATTGGATGGTAAAGGAATCTTTGTTGGACTTAAAAAAAAATTGAGAACCTGGGTGTGCAGGCAGAAGAACAGAAGGTTACCTGTAGGCTTCATCCAGACTCATGTCCATCCGCTTCATAATATATGCTATAGCGATGGTGGCTGAGCGAGAGATTCCAGCCAGACAATGGACCAGGACCCGGCTATTAGAGGCTTTGGCCATTTCTGCAGAAAGACAAAAGTAAATGTCAGCTTAAAATCTCACCGTACTTCTAGATGATCTAGACCTTGGGTGCACTAGGAACATCCTGGTCTGTTCTGCAGGAGTAATGCCTGCAGACTACTTATAATAATTGTGACATTGTCCTTATAATTGTTCTTTTTTGTGTGCAGATCAAAGCATGGCAGAAGAACAATGTAATGAAGCTGGGAGGGCCATAATGAATAAGATGACCTTTCCATAAATTGCTGGTACGTGGCTCAGTTCACAAAGTGGTTCCAGAGGTCGTGGATGTGGTAGGGTTCTGTCTATTTGTGAACACAACGTGTACTACTACACATCTACTGCATAAACATGTAGTGCCCTTTAAGTAAATTCATAGGTGAAATGCATATATTTATATATAAAATAAAAATAAATAAAAAGAGTCCATGTGGAGTGAAGTCATCATAAAAAGTGAAGCCTCTAAATAAGCCACGACATGTAAGGTGTCATAAAATAATAAAGCCTTTAAATCATCTCATAAAAGTCCACCAACAAAAGGAAAAGAAAAAAAACCCATGTACCCAAAGAGAGAGACTATGTGTTAATCTCCCTTCAATCTACCAGCTCTGTGCACCTGCGACCAGTGATCCACACTGCTGCTTATCAGAAAGTTAGACCGCAAACTCTGAGGTCTAACAGCGCTTTATGGGAAAAGAACCTGACGGCTTTATGGATGGATGGATTATGGATGATGAATCTGAAAATTAAGTCTGTCATGTGCACATCCTGCTCAGGCCACCAGTACCAATGTCAAAACGCTCACACTCCTCTGCTGCCACTTGCAGCAGTGTCTCCTCTCTACTTCCTTCCTCCCCTTCCCGCTTTTACTTTTTTGGATTGTGCACTATGACACATACCCAAAAAACTAGGGATGCACCGAAATTTTGGCCACTGAAACATATCGGCAGAAAGCAGCCCTATCAGCATATTGCCAATAGGAGAAATTTAGCTGATACAGGTGCCGATACAGGAAACTGTGTGTACTGCAGATGTGAGGGCGGGGGTGGCTGAGAAAGACAGGAGAGGAGCAGTGTATACAGTGACTGGCTGTCACTATATGTCAGTGCCGTTTTTTTTGAATGTAATTACTGGCTTTTTTTTTTTCTTCACTATAGCTCACAGGATTAGCTGTCACTTTCCCCCCAGCTAAAAGAAACAAAGATTCCTTTTAGTTTCTTTCCCAGAGTCAAAAGAAACAAAGTTTCCTTCAACTCCTGGGAAAGTGACAGCTAATTCTGTGAGCTATAGTGAACATTTTTTTTTTTAAAAAAGCTGGCAATTGAATTTAAAAACTGGCACTGAATATAGTGACAGCCAATGAGGGAGCCTCTCTGTATACCCTGCCCCCTCACTGTATACACTGCTCCTCTCCTGCCCCCTCCTTGAACACACTGCCCCTTACAAAGAGGAAATGTCACTCATATGCGATCACATAGGGGACTATTGGTCCCCTATGTGATAGCAATAAAATCCTAAGTTTAAAAAAAAATAAATATAACACACACACACACACACACAATGAAATACATAAAAAAAAAAAAATTGGAGCCTCCCCATATACGCAGACATTTCGGTTTCAGTTCGGTCTTTGGCCACATTTTCGGTATCGGTTTCAGCAACAGAATTTTCATTTCAGTGCACCACTACAAAAAAAAACTGCATTGAAGTACATCCTGTCCCCCTCCCCTGCTGTCACAGCCTTCCTCATACTTACCAGCAATTCCAGACTGTAGAACTGATTTTCAAGAACTGCTCTGTAAATACAGCAGATCTAGAAGATGCTGCTGTCAATAAACAACCATTTGACAGTGTTTAAATAAACATTGCTCAGACACAAAATAGAAAGATACAAAGTAACATTTTTACTTTTGTAACATCTCTATTTCATTCACCTGCAGATCAGGGAAGAGCTGCATGTTTTTTGGATTTTCTTCCATAACATATTTACCTAGTTTCTCCCCTCAACTACTATTGTCCTGTTTTTTTTTGTTTTTTTTTATTTCTATTTTTCTAAACAATACTATTTTGGAGGGTCTTTTTTTTATTTGTCTTGTTTGTTAATTATTTTTTCCAAATCACATTATTATTAATAATTAAAAAAAAAAATGCAAAAAAAAAAAAAAGTAGTATTTCATTAACTTTGCAATGCTTTGTACAAGGATTATAACTGTAGGGTCATTTTAAACGGGACAAAAAAAAAAAAAAAATCTCACCTATAAAATCCACAGACTTGTCTAGCCACGGGAGGATCTTCTCGCAGAAACTGTCGTTGACAGGAACCCGTAGGAAATGGGAGTCACAGATAAAGTCAGGTTTGGGGCAAGTGTTGCTGGCGTTAAGCACAAAGGCGATCTCATTCTGCTGCATCAGTTCCTGGATGAGAAACATGGGCAATGAGGTGAGAAGGATACAAGGAAGTGAGTGAGCTACAGACACTGTCACTCCAATCTAAAAATGATTACAATTTAATTTTCTGTGTGTGATTTACTGCTGGATGGCCAGAACAAAAAACGTCAGGCCAGGCACACATGCTCATGAAGGAAATTGTTTCTTACATACACTTGGGTAGAACTAGAAGCAATTTGCACCAAAAAGGGAAAAAAGACAAAGTGCCCACCACCCTAATACAACTACTTCTGCAACTTTAGCAGCAGGTTGTGACATTTTTGCCCTTCCATTCTGCTGAAGTGCCCCCATGACAGCTGTCTCTTCTGCCTACACCTCAGCATGGCCCTGTTTCTGATCCCCCAGTCCAAATCTACAAAATAAAAGTTGGATTCTCCAATAGAAACACAGAACCTTTTCCATCCAAGGCAAGCTAGAGTCTGTGAGATCCGGCAGACACAGCCATGCTTACTCCACCTTTAATCAATATTTTAAGGTGAAAGTTACTCCACCCAGTATTAACTGTATGTGAAGCCAAACAAAGGTTTTGACTAAACAACCACTTTATTATTAAATATAGTTCAAAATTTAAAATGCACCCCCCCCCCCAAAAAAAAAAACCAAAACAAAATTAAAGTAGAACTATAGGCAAAATATTTTTTGTTTTTTTGATAGAGTAAGGGAGGGTTATAACCGGTTAGATTTTTTTTTACGCCATCTGTGTCCCATTGCGGAGATTTACTTTTACTTCCTGTCCCATAACCAAACAGGCAGTGAGAGAAAATCCTTGAAAGTCAAGGGAATTTCTTGAAGACCCCCAGGTCACCAGAACTAGTGTCCCCATTGAAAGATTTCACCTCTATTACTTTTCTACGGACAACCGAAATTTGGGATTTTTTTTTTACTTTCAGTTACAAGGATAATGGTAAAAAGGACAAAGAGAGAGGATGAATCTCCCTAACAGAGGCACAAACAGCAATAAAAACTGACGTGTTCTAATCCATCTCCACTATACAAAACGAAAATACAATTTTTGCCTTTAGTTATAATTTAAGCTATTGTTATGGTGAACTTTTATTCACACCTTTCTAGTGCTGTAATTTCTGGTAGCGTCCACTTCATATACATTCGTGTGTTATTGTGCCATTCAAACTCAGTCATTAGATTTATGCTATTCATATTTATAAAACCCATCTCCATCGCATTGCAGTGCACCAAAAAGTACAACACAATAGGAAGTGTGGTGGTGCACTGGGTTCCCAAAAATGGTGCCTTTCCACATTTTGACTTTTTGGTGCTTTACAAGCCTATTCATTTGAATGGCCTGCCATAATCTGTGCACATGAAAAAATAAAAAAAAAAACTTGCGTTAAACACACATGTGTGAATGCAATGCACAAGGACACCAAAGTCTGAATGGGTCCTAAAAGAAAATTGGAAATTAAACAAATATTTGAATTCATAATTGGTCTTCTACATATATTTGTCAATTAAAAATGTTATTGCATGCAATGCTTGTTCAACTCCCCTGGAACACAATCTTCCTTCAGGGCAGCTATAAAACACTCTTTCCCTCTACAGAAAGTCCAAGTTAGCCAGTTACCATGCCAAAAAAGGGACTGTACTGTGCTAGATTATGACAATGTGTCACCTTCATCAAGAAGAGAATTTCTACACTTTGTTTAAGCTAAACCTCATGCTTCCATAGAGGAGCAGCAGAGCTCAGACTAGGAGAGAAAGAAGCAGCACAAGGAGCCAATCAGTTGTGCTGCATGCTCTTCCGGATATACACATATATGTTTTGTACCTCTCCGGATATACACATATATGTTTTGTACCTCTCCGGATATACACATATATGTATTGTACCTCTCCGGATATACACATATATGTATTGTACCTCTCAGGATATACACATATATGTTTTGTACCTCTCCGGATATACACATATATGTATTGTACCTCTCCGGATATACACATATATGTATTTTATCTCTCAGGATATACACATATATGTATTGTATCTCTCAGGATATACACATATATGTATTGTATCTCTCAGGATATACACATATATGTATTTTATCTCTCAGGATATACACATATATGTATTGTATCTCTCAGGATATACACATATATGTATTGCATCTCTCCGGATATACACATATATGTATTGTACCTCTCAGGATATACACATATATGTATTGTACCTCTCAGGATATACACATATATGTTTTGTACCTCTCCGGATATACACATATATGTATTGTACCTCTCCGGATATACACATATATGTATTTTATCTCTCAGGATATACACATATATGTATTGTATCTCTCAGGATATACACATATATGTATTGTATCTCTCAGGATATACACATATATGTATTGTATCTCTCAGGATATACACATATATGTATTGTATCTCTCAGGATATACACATATATGTATTGTATCTCTCAGGATATACACATATATGTATTGTATCTCTCAGGATATACACATATATGTATTGTATCTCTCAGGATATACACATATATGTATTGTATCTCTCAGGATATATACATATATGTATTTTACCTCTCAGGATATACACATATATGTATTTTATCTCTCAGGATATACACACATATGTATTGTATCTCTCAGGATATACACATATATGTATTGTATCTCTCAGGATATACACATATATGTATTGTATCTCTCAGGATATACACATATATGTATTTTATCTCTCAGGATATACACATATATGTATTTTATCTCTCAGGATATACACATATATGTATTGTATCTCTCAGGATATACACATATATGTATTTTATCTCTCAGGATATACACATATATGTATTGTATCTCTCAGGATATACACATATATGTATTTTATCTCGGTGTTAGCCGTTTGCTTGGAGTTCAGCTTTCATTACACATAAACATGATAATAATAATGATGATGATGTTCCTTTCAGATGTGCTGTTTCTGCACATTCCAGTGTTGCGCTGGTCTCACCTTGTTAAGGACATCTCTCTGGCAGCCCAGGTAGAGGTGAGGGAGGATACGGGTGGGCCCGGCACTGGAGACAGGAAGACACGGCTGGGAGATGCAGGTGGGGACGATAGAAGCCTTCCCTTCACACAGTCCGGGGTAGCAGGTGGAGAATTCGTAGAATCCACCTGTGAATGGGACATCGGAGGTTAGGAGGGGACAATGACATCAATGGCAGCAGGCGATTTGGGACCTTCCCTTTTGCAGCCGCATATGGAGGAAAATTATAATACAGTCTAGGGAGACCACAGTCAGAATCTTACAGAGAACACAGTACTCCCCCTAACAATGCCTTCCTCTGCTTATCTCTCCAGAAGGTGAAGCCATCTCTATTCAGACATCATCCTGGGTCACCATCTACTTCCTGGACTAAGATGCCAGCTCAGTCATGTAAATTCTGGTGCCTGTGCAGTTCTTGGCCGAGTTCAAAAATGTCAGATGCAAATCAGCCCCTGCTACAGCCTCTTGCCTTGTGACTTGCTACAAAGTTACAATGTTGCAACCTAATCACTAGAGAAAGGGAGAAATGCTTCCTCTTGCCTGCGGCTGATAACGTCATTTCATCCTAGGCAAAGTCACTGACTGGAAATACAAGATGGCTTTAGAAGAAGTGTGGGAAATCAAAATCACATACATACTCACCTGTATGGCTGCAGAATCAATTGTAAAAGCATGCTTGTTATACTCATTGTGGAACCTAAGGGGTTAATCGTTCACATTGTGCAAAAAGGCTGTTTGATCTTCTCTGATCGTCCCTTTCTCCCCAATCCATCTGCTGATAGTACAGAGCTCTAGGAGTCACTCTGTACATGTTCAGTTTAGTATATATTGCTAGTTTTTTTTTTCCATGGGAGGGTGCATGTGATCAGCACATGGCCAATCAGCACTGTCCAGAAAGAAAGTCAGGGGTCATGCAGCCTCATAGGACAGTCAGAACAAAATGAAAACTCCTCCTACAAGCTTTAACCAATGCTGAGCAGGACACTGATAAAAGTCACAAGACCGCTATATACTGCTGATGAGAAAAGGTATTTAGCAGTTTGTATTTACTAAAATAATTGCATTTCTGTGTACTGTGGGAGACCAGACATAGTGAATGCAGGGTCCGGGGTTTAGTAAATACTGTAGATAGGAAGGTATATTATATTTACTGGTTTTAAACTTTTTTTTTACATTTCATAAGTTGCTGCCTGGTTTCTGGCCTAGGCCAAAATGATGTCATACATCCCCAGGAGTCTTCATGGACATTTTTTTATTTTTCCTTCATCTGGATGAGGAAATTTTTCAGCTAAGCACACAGTTTGTGGTATTCAGATACCGATTTACCTGTTAGCAGGTGCGAGAGCAGCTGACTCTATTGTTTAAAATTTGGAACTGAATGAAGGCTCTGCACGCCCCCAAGTGGTAGGGGATGCCTTTAAAGCCTACACCAGAGGCAAATACAACTCAGCCATCAAATCTATGAGAGTGGAATTTTCCACACAAGTCACAAGACTTGAACAGGAAAAGTCTGGGGCAGCTTTAGCTTTTGCATCCTCTTCTACCGGGGATAACTACTCTCTGCTTGCCCATGCCCACAGAGAATTGGAACTCCATCTCACATACCTCACTAAATCTGATGCTACCATACAAGCGGATAAGCTGTTCCGAGCCCAGTAACAAAAATGGCAGATTATTAGCCAACCTTGTTGCAGACTTGAGACAGATGACAGTTGTCTCTGAGCTGATCTCAGAATCTGGGGAGCGTCTCACTCAACTACTATTCTCTGAGACTTTCAGCAGTTCTTTTAAACTTTATATACTCCCTTTCCTTCCCCCCCACCCCCCAGGTCCCGTCCCTGATGACTACTTTACAAAATCTCTCCTTGATGACTTTATCTGCCACAGACACTCTTGACCTTGACAAGGAAATCTAGGTTTTGGAAATAGAAGTGTCCATCCTCTTATTTTCCTCAAATAAAACAGATCTGGATGGTTTGCCTAGGGATTGATACAAATTGCATGGTGGGGATTTATCACAGAAGCTCCATAGAGTGTTTCATGACTGTTATGAGGCCCAGTCTCTACCCCTGTCCACGTATCAAGCACACATTGTGCTTCTGCTAAACCACGTAAGAACCCTAGACAATGTGCCTAATGGTCAATGTGCCTCATATAGGTCCATATCCCTCCTAAATTATGATTTAAAAATCCAGACTAATGTGTTGGCCACTAGATTAATGAAATTCCTTCCCTCCTTGGTCAGCATAGACCAGACCGAATTTATACGAGTGAAGTCTACGGATATTAATCTGCATAGAGTTTTCACTCATCTTCAACTTCCCTGGGATAAATCTGATTCACGGGTCCTTGCATTACTGGATGTTGCACAGGCATTCAACTCTGTGGACTGGTTCTATATGTCAGCAGTTTTGGAAGTGATGGAATTAGGACCATATTTTTGTAAATGGATCACTATTCTCTATAAAATCCCACTGGCCCAGATAAAATTTAGGGGAAGCCGTTTCAGAGCCTTTTTCCATCGGTAGGGGGACAAGATAGGGATACCCACTCTCTCCAGATCTGTTTGCTCTGATGGTGGATCCCATAGCCCAAGCTATACGCAGCTCTCCCCTTATTAGGGGTATACAGGTAGACCCCATGATAGAAAAAGTGTCATTATACCCTGATGATTTAGTCTTGTTTCTGCACAACCCTGGTCCTTCTCTTCAGGCTGCACTGAATTTAATATTCTCCTTTTACCCCCTTTCTGGTTTAAAAGTCAACTGGGACAAATTCCAAATTTCACCTATACATCAGGAAGCATGTGAGCAGGCGGATCCAGGACTACCTTTGAAATGAACCTCATCTGACAAATATTTAGGGGTGACAATATCCCCCAGGACCTCAGATTATTGCTCTATGAACCTATTACCTTTATTACAAATGGCTAAACAACGCATGTCTGCATCAGCACACCTACCCCTTTCACTTTTAGGTAAAATTAACCTCATTAAAATGAAATTGCTTCCTTCCTTCTTATACATGCCCCTGTATGGTTCCCGAATACATTTTTCAAACAGTTTGATTCCGCGCTGACTTCCTGCTTATGGGGATCCTGTCAGCCCAGGTTTAAATTGTCTAAACTTCAGCGGCCCTGGATGCCGGAGGGGCTAGCATGTCCCAATTTATATACCTATCATCTAGCTACTTTGCTTCTCCATGCTCATAATTGGTTGGTGGCAGATGAAACAGGTGCTGAGCAAACTGTTGGTGCTATATAAAATCCTGTATAATAATAATAATGCTGCAGTGGTTCTAAAGGCAGCACATTTAGGCTCCTACAAAGCCCTCAAAACTTACTGTACAGAGGCGCCTCAGCTCCCTATCCCATCACAGAATCTATGAAAACATTAATTAGGGCATGGCAATTGCAACACTCTGTTTGCGCTAATGTGTGGTCTCCCCATAGGCCTTGATGGTTAAACCCCCGCCTTCCTGAATTTTTCAAAGCTCCAGATCCCAATGTGTGGGCATCTAAGGGAATCAAATACCTTCCTCAAATCTGCTCAGAGGGTATCCTTCAAAATTTTGATTCTTCAAAACCGAGATATGCTCTCCCCAATTCTTAGCTGTTCCAGTACCTCCAGCTGCATAATGCTTTTCGCTTGGAGTTTCGTAACCAACCAGTCCCACTTGCTGAATTTGGAATTGAATCCCTATTGAACGATAGCACTTTTTCAAAAACCTCTTTCCAATATTTACAAATTTCTTCAGCCTACTATACATGAAGGTCTTTACAAGCTGTTCTCCTGCTGGCGTGAGGAAGTACCTGAATAAGATTTTGAGGATATATGGGAATATACCATACAACAACTAGTCTCCACTTGAGACCACTTAATTCAATTTAAGATTCTACACAGAATTCATTTCACTCCCCAAAAATTGCATAGGATTTATCCTTCCCACTCTTCGAAGTGTTGGCATTGCCAGAAGGATCTGGCGACGTTCCTCCAGGTCTTCTGGGAATGCCCGGTGATCAAATCCTTCTGGATGGATGTTGCTCAGTGTATTCATTCTGTGACTACCATCTCTATACCATTATCTGTTGATGTCTGTATGTTTGGCTTAGTACATCTCCTGGTTGTGTCCAGGGCAATGAGAACCTTGCTGGGGCGTTTTTTCCTTTTTTATGCACAGAAAGTTATACTTCTCAAATGGAAATCCCCACATGCACCTACGTCCGATTTTGAGAAACATAGTTAAGAAAATGGTGCCTCTATATAAGTTTACATATGAGGTCAGAGGGTACTCCAAAAATTCTTTAAAATATGGAACATTTGGATAGAGTCCAGAGAAACCGTGGCATTTGTTGACTTATCCCAATAGTGAAGTGGACATTACATTTCCAATATGATCATCAATACCTATAGCTATAGCACCACGGATAGATGCATTTTGTTTTCCTTATGTTAGTGGTTGTAGCGGTGACAACTGGAGTGAATTGTTTCTATAGGAACTGGTTGCTGAGAGTTTAGGAGTTTTATTAGTTTTGTTTACTTGTGTTTTCTTAATCCTGGGTATGCCCAATAGGCTTTGTTTTGTAACCTATGCCTTTTTATGCAAATAAAGATAATTTTAAAAAAAAATTATATATATTTTCACAGATGGATTTGCTGACTGTGATATCAGATGGCAACACCTGGTCCTCAGGCATGGCATTGAACCTGGCTAGATCATCAATGCTGCAGATAACTGCCCTGTCTCAGAATTGCCTGGCTTCTGGGATTAACAACTGTTTTCAAAGGTTCTTTTTAGCCACATGAGAGGTGTACTTTAAATTTCACCATCTGGGCTCCACCACTCCACATTGAGGTTTTGGCCATTCCCAGAGCCCTAGCAGGGTGTGAGAGAGCTCCCTCTAAAGCACCATGGCCAAGCCCTAACTTCACTTACCTGCAAGTAGGTGGACATTGCTGAAGAGTTTCTCCAACTTACGGAGCAGCACCGTCAAGAAACAGTCGGAGGGCAGAGAGGAGACATCAGATGAGCTCTGATCATACACCACCACCTGCTGGGCCTGGCACTCCAGCTCCACCTAAAACATACAAGAGTAACACTTTCATCTTCAACAATGGTCCACATATCCATCATCTGCAAAAAAAAGTGACGTCACTGAAGCATGGAGAACAATATGTATGTTCCCTGTTTCCCAGCTGGGGAGATTCACGTCAACTGTTCATGAGGGGAATCCTTGCCCCAATTTGTATATCTTTCCCTTGACTTCCTTGTGCCTTCAGAACAGAAAGTGAAGTGTAATCCCCACAAAGGGATCATAAACAGCAAAAAAATAAATCTCTTTATTATAGCTACAGATAAAGTAACTGCTAACTGCAGGCAAAACCATTAACTCTTCAACGTTTCAACTGCAGCTTCTTGGGGTGAAATCTCCCTGCAGCAGTTTGTGTCTCCCTTCCTTCTGCAGTAACGGGGTGTCACTCTCTCACACAGCTAAACTATGTAAACAGGAGGAACAGCATGACACCATACATTCATAATTTGACTGCAGTATATGGGTGGAACAGGGGTTCTAAACAAATACCAAAAGCCAGCAACTATTCACTACTGAAATTTTGGTTTTAGCCAAAGTTAGCTTTTAAAGTTGAACTCTGGGCACAAAACTTTAATGCAAATATATTCCTCAATAACCACAAAGGATATAAAGTTAGTTTGTGTGTACTAAATACTGTTGCAAACCCCGATGGGGGGCATTGACAAATCAGTCACCCTACACAAGGTGAGTGAGCAGCAGTGACCGGTCTTTATTACAGGTTTCACACTGGATTACTGAACAGATCTGAAGAAATATACAAAGCATACCAACCAAGAATACATATGCCGCTTGTATACAGTATAGCCAATATTTGCTTTTCCCCAACTTTAGTGCTCACAACATTACCAAACAAAGCAAATGTATACAAGTGTATCTAAATGATTTTGTAGGTTTTCCAGGTGTTCACCAGTGCGGAAGTCAAATCTTTTCAAGACCTTAAGAGGGAATATGATCTCCCTAACTTTATGTTTTTTCGCTGTCTCCAGCTCCGTCCGTCATGCTCTGCGGGCCCAGTTTGGTAACTCTGTTTTACAACTCAACTCTAATTGTCTTTTGGATATGATTATGGGCACGGAATCTAAGAAACTCCCGTTCACATTCTATAATGCTTTGCTCCTACCTTTTGTATCATTATTGGCTTATTGCCTTAAAACCCGCTGGGGGGGGGTGGACGTGGGGGAGCTGGATGATGAAATATGGGAGGTGTTGTCCTCGACTAAGATGGTTTCCCCGAGGTTGTCGGACTGTCTTACTCAGCTATATATTATACATAGAACCTACTGGACACCAATTTGATTGTCTAAATACAGGCCGCAACATAGCCCATTTTGCTCTAAATGTGGAGACCCTGATAGTACTTTTTTTCATTTAGTATATTCCTGTCCCCTCATACGGGGCTACTGGTTCCAGGTGGTCAGGTTCCTTCATGACAAGATGGGCTCTCCTCTTACCGTGTCCTAAACACTGTTTGCTCGGTCTTCTTCTTAGCCCAGAAACCGACAAATTTCAGACTTTTTTTTGCATGAGACGCTACTTGTGGCTAGGCTTCTGCTTGCCCGTATGTGGTTGCAGGCGCTGATGCCTACGTTTTCACAGGGGGTAGCTGCGGCAAATAGTACTTTACCATATAAGAAGGTCATTTATATGCATATAGGATGCCCTGCTAAGTATCACAAAGTTTGGGATAGATGGCTTGACTCTACATCTACTTGTGACGAGGATGAGGAGGAGGAATGATTACTCTTTGTAAATTTATTATGTTGGTTGTTCTTATGCTGGTCCTCCTTTCCTTGCCTGCAGAAAAGGCTCTATAATCTGTATAATGCATTACTCGTTTGCATATTTGTCCTATGATTTTTGTTGTTGAATGTGAGATGTGGCTGCATATCTGTTCCTCTCAATAAAAGTTTGCTTTATAAAAAAAAAAAAAAAAAAAAAAGTATCTAAATCCAAGAACTGAACCTTAATACATTGTAGTTTACCAGTACTTTGATGTAGTGGCTGTATTGATTTTCTTTTTTTCAGACTATGGACAATTTCTGTAAGTAAAGATCCTGCCAGAAATCCAGTGTGCATATCTCTTCCATTTAGCTGAACTGAAATCTCAAACAATGTTTCCCAGCTATTATCTGTGAAATACAGAACACCTCCTATGTGATGGAAATAAAGACAGTGGGAGGTATATTGTAGTCTTGCCCAAGGCTGACAATGCTGCTCTCCCACAGATACAGTACGGTCATTAAATGTGTTGTCACCCTAGGGCAGGAAGTGTCAGCAGGAACATCAAGAAAAGATAAAAGGTAAATAAAAATAAAACTACTGCAGCCACCACATCATATATTGCTACATTGCAGTATATGAGTATTACATTTTTGTTGTTGGGTTTGGATACACTTCACAGGTAAGTGTCTGTATTCTGGGAGCAATAAAAAAAAAAAGGTTTCCAGCTGTCACATTTTAGTTTGTTGACCTTCTCCTTGCAACCCCTCATATACAAGGTTGGTGGTGTACTTCATCCTCAACGCACTCAGGTAGCAGCACTTACCTTTTGCTTGGCGGAGTGATGGATCAGTTCAGCCACCTGCACCTTGTCCTGCTGCAGCCGCCTCTTCATCAGCTTGGAACAGTTAATGTTGATGGCGTCCAGGATATGGGAGGTGTTATATTCCACAAAAGGGCGACTGTCTATCAGAAGGACCTTCTCCGTTCCTCCTTCCATCCACGCCACCAGCTTGTCGGCACTCACCTGCCGACATCGGAGGCCCTCGGCAGCCATGGCGGCACCTCCGCCCTCAGGTGTGGGGAGGGTTAAGCAAGCGGGAAGTCTCAAGCCCGTGTCCAGCACATGCTGCGTTCTCTGGTGTCAGGGCATTCTGCAGGTTGGGCGATGCTGTTGGCACTGCAACGAGGAACCGGGAAGCCTTTCCACCAGATGAAGGGTTTAAAGAACTTCCCGAGCAGAAACTTTTCTCCGTTTGCGACTATGACATCATCAGAGCGTCGATCCTGGAGCTCGGGGTACTTCCTGGGACGCTGGGAGAATTCTGGGGGGGGGGGAAATCACAGACAAGAAATCCGTCAATAAAACATTACAGGAACACACAGGCAATTAAAGCCGGGACAGAGAAAGAAAACACACAATGAGGTCATCAGTATTATGTTTAATCACAAGGAGGAAACCAGGAACAGAGGGCTGAGCTCACTGATTGTGTCTGTTTAACCCAGTCTGCTCCACGCAGGCAGGAGAGGGAAAAAGTCTCATGTGTGCTCCTCTCTGGTTTAGTTTCACTTTGTAAACTGGGCCTCAACTCCCTTGACTGTGGCTAAGCCCCACTAACTGTCATCGTTCTTGTCCTATTAGACTGCTTCAGTGGCCAATACAGGGACTCTCAATGAAAGAGTGACTGTCTATCAGAAGGACCTTCTCAGTTCCTCCTTCCATCCACGCCACCAGCTTGCAGAGCTTCAAGTAGACCCCTCAGGTCTTCTGGATCAAGGTGTCATTGCCCCATTACCTGTAATAGAACAGTTTTTAATAGTTTTACTGCAACCTGTTCACAATTCCCTAACCCAGTGTGCCCTATCTTGGATCTCCAAAGCACTGAAAGTGGTCTGTCATCTCCTCCCTTCACCAGGAATACCTAGCTTCTATGGACATCATGGACACATACCTAGCACAGTGACTAAATGGTTAGCTCTTCCGCCTGGCAGTACTAGGGTTGTTGGTTCGAATACCAGCCACGGCACCACCTGCCTGGAGTTTGCATGTCCTTCCTGTGCCTGTGTGGGTTTCCTCCGGATACTCTGGTTTCCTCCCACAATCCAAAGACATGCTGGTAGGTGGATTGGTTCCTATCTAAATTGACCCTAGTATGTGTATGTATGAATGTAAGTTAGAGATCTTAGATTGTACTCCCCTTGAGGGTTAGGGACTGATGTGAATGTACAATATATATGTGTAAAGTGCTGTGTAAATTGACGGCGCTATCTAAGTACCTGTGAAATAAATAAAATAAATGGACAGTTGTCAGGAATGGCTGTTAAATCAGGCACCAGTAACAATGTGAAACTAAATCAGAGAGGAGCACATAAGATGCTTTTCTAAACCTGTGGTTTCTGCTTTGCTCAGTACACCTGTATAAAGATTCAAATGGAGGACAGGTTCACTTTACCCCACCACAAAACTTAAGATCAAATCATGTATTTTACATTAATCCAATTAGATCCAAAGCAAGTTACCATATAACTGGACTATATAAAAAAGGGACTTTTACAGCTGCTTGGTATTCCGCATTAAAATGATAAATTGCGCTCCAATATATACACCTGGTTATCACGTTTAATCTTGTTTGTTTTCTTGTAGTGGGAATCTCCATGCACACTGGGCGCTTTAACCTCTTGGCGCTGGCCACACGTCTGGGCCTTGACGCCGAGCGGCCGCACATTTTGCGTGCAATTAAGAAAAACGTGTGCAGAGAGCACGCACCCTGCGCGCTCCCAGCACACATTTACGGTACTCACGGAAAGGTCCTGATCTCCTCTTACGATCGGGACCTTTCCCGATCATGTGGCCTCCGGGACAGCAAATCAAGGTGGTCACATGACCTTAAAACCCTGCCCCGCTTCTGAGGGAGCCGGGAGGCGCTGGGGCTAAGGCGTTAACACTGCTAACGTTAGTTGTGTAAAGTCACATTAAAAAAACTTAAATTTTTCAGCGTTTTTGTATTAGTGTTTAGCAGCGTTTTGCTGCATGTGTTTTTTATGGGGGTTTTTTTACAAAAAAAATCCAAAAATGCAGGTTTGCCGCGATTTACTGTGTTTTTCAGTGTTAGAGCGTTTTTACAGCTATAAAACTCCTCTAAAAACCCCCAATCCTGTTTTTTTTTTCCAGCCAAAAAATGCCCCTGCCAAAAAAAAACGTTGATTACAGTCTATGTATGCATGGACACATAGGATAACATGCTGGGGGGTTTACTGGCTGTAGAAAAAAAAACAAAAAAAAAAAAAACACATCAAAAGCCAAAAACAGCCGCTGTAAAAACGTCCCATGTGCATGAGGACTAACCACTGTAAAAACCTGGCATGCCCCTAAACCAGGGGTGGGCAAACTTTTTGACTTGAGGGCCGCAATGGGTTCATATATTGGACCCGGGGGCCGGACCAAGAGTAGATTAATGATGTGTATGTGTCATCCATAGTAAGTATAGTAATATTCCCCCATAGTAAGCATAGTAATTAATCCCCCATATAGTAATTCATCCCCCATAGTAATTCATCCCCCATATAGTAATTCATCCCCCATATAGTAATTCATCCCCCATAGTAATTCATCCCCCATATAGTAATTCATCCCCCATAGTAATTCATCCCCCATAGTAATTCATCCCCCATAGTAATTCATCCCCCATAGTAATTCATCCCCCATATAGTAATTCATCCCCCATAGTAATTCATCCCCCATAGTAATTCATCCCCCATAGTAATTCATCCCCCATATAGTAATTCATCCCCCCCATATAGTAATTCATCCCCCATATAGTATTTCATCCCCCATATAGTAATTCATCCCCCCTACAGTAATTCATCCCCCCTATAGTAATTCATCCCCCCTATAGTAATTCATCCCCCATAGTAATTCATCCCCCCTATTAATTCATCCCCCCTATAGTAATTCATTCCCCATATTAATTCATCCCCCATATTAAGTCCCCCCCTGTGTCAATTCACTTACCTTTGCTCCGCACGTTCCTCTCGCCGTGTTCCCGCGCCGTTCCGGTGTAGCATGAAAATCTGTCTCCTATGAGGATCTGTCCCCCTCGACGTATCTGCGCACGTGCCAGTTTCAGGCATTAGCAGCCGATCGGCGATCTCCGGCACATGCGCAGATACGTCGAGGGGGACAGATCCTCATAGGAGACAGATTTTCATGCTACACCGGTCTTCAGGGCGGACTGTGAGAGGAGCCTAGCTCCCCTCGCAATCGTCACGCTGCCCCGCCTACACACATCCTGACAGCCATCCTGACAGTATCACGCTCCGCGGGCCGGATTAAAAGGTCCGCCGGGCCGTATACGGCCCGCGGGCCGTAGTTTGCCCATTGCTGCCCTAAACTAATATGCTGGCAGAAAAGAAGCGCAGAAAATGACAAGACATCATGGGGTTGCATTTATAGTTATTATTATTATTATACAGGATTTATATAGCGCCAATAGTTTGCTCAGCGCTTTACAATATATAACGGGAGACAATACAGCAACAATACAGTTCAATACAAGAGGGATAGGAGGGCCCTGCTCCTTGGAGCTTACAATCTAGGAGGAGTTGTAGGTAGTTCCTGCTTTAAACGGATTATAAAAGGAAGGCTGAGGGCAATAGTTTACCAGTAGATGGAAATTCTAACCAGATTAAATTTAGCTGGCCCTGCGCGTGGTGGATCAAACATTTGTGTTTTGTTTTTGTTTGTTTTTTTAACATGAAAATACTTGTTTTTCCTTTTTTTCCTCCTTTCTAGCAGCATCTCAGTGCTGATTATCTCCTGCAGCCTCTTTCCAACCATTACTGGCTACAGGAACTCCAGCGATGGCTGCATGGCATTTCTCAGGTTTCATGATGGGGACAAGAGTGGACCAGTTTAAATGACCACTTGTAGTTGCCTTCAGGAGCCTGTGTGTGAATATTGAAGGGACAATGGTAAATATTAAGCAAGATCTTTGATTGGGTTTACATCCAATTTAATTTTAGAGCAAATGTACCCAGCAGTATGAAGACACCCTGGAAAGTGTTTTGCGTAGAAACATTTGCAGCACTTCTGAGAAGGTATTTAGAAAAAAAAAAAAACTTCCCTCTGTCCAAAAAAACAACAATACAGCCCCTGAGTTCATCAATGACTCTTCACATATAAAAATTCCAGGATGAGCCAAGACCAAACCGCAGAGAGCAGACACGGCTTCTGCAAACAGATGAGGTCATTGCCTGCAGGGGACCAGGACACAGACACCGCATGCGCACACACAACCAGGAGAGATGGATTACACGCTGCTTTTAGAACTGTCAGATTGTTATGCACACCATAGAAGAAGAAACAAGGTGACAACCAGAAACAGCTGGCCCTTTAGGCTGGGTTCACTGTGGTAATGCCTGTATTGGTGTGCTGTGATACCATTCATTTTTAGGGTTACCAGACACATTACAAGCTGACGGTGCAATCTTTGTTCAGTTTACCAAAATGATGTAATTTGAAGACAAAAATGAATCTATTCATTTTGAATTTGATCTGCCGGCCCCAAAGTCTTCCAATCCAAGTATCCCTAGCACACTATATAGCAGATGACACCATTATTCACTATTGCAGATTTCAGTGTGCCCTGCCTGCTTATTGGACTACAAAAGAGCACAACTGCAGCTGAAGAACATCATTTCTTCTCGAAGATTCCTGAATGGATCACCCTGCAGCTAGAACATGTCATAGGAACAGAACTGCAATGCAATTGGCTCCGATTCGCAGCCTGATCTCAGCTGTTCGGTGTCCACTGAGAGAATTACATGAATGTCATGTAGTTGTACAATATAGTGATGGTGAACTTTTATTTCTGGAATCAATAAATGGACCAGAAGACAACATCTGCCATAAGATCTTGCTTAAATGAATCCCTAGCATGAAATGATTGAGTGGAAGACCACAACGTCTAATAGAAACCACTCATTGACCGCACTGGGGAACCTCTGATTGGCTGGGCTTTAGCCGATCATTACGCCTAGGCTCCTTGGTTTTCATTT